TTTATCTAAAAAAAAAAAAAAACAAAACAAAAAAAAACGCTGCATTAGCTTTTATACAATATAATACTTTAAAAATAAATAACTGATTTGGGCATGGGACACAAGCCTGGGCTTGATCAACCTATGGCTGGCCGCCTCAGATGAGGGTGTATAGTGTTTAAAGGCCGAAACACCTGATGACTCTGGGGTACACTACTGATGATGTGTCCTAAAATTCCTAAAATTCATTAATCTACTCTACCACACCTGTTCGTTCTCTGACTTGCGGTCGTGGGAAGGAGAATGAATAGGTGAAAAACATAGGCCAAGCCAGGTCTTGAGGGTGCCCTGCTCAGTCTAGTGGCGCATCCCTCTCTTCACCTCTTTGTTCTTTGCCTTGCGATCCAGTTGGAAGAATCAAACATAAATACAAACCTAATGCAACTATGTCAACTTGCAACAATTTTCCAATAAATTAATAAATAAAAGGAAATTTACTCCTGGACAGAGGGACTGGAAGGCCCGATGGCATTGCTTAACAAGCGGCGGCCCGTGCATTACCCTTGATCTTCCTATCCAACCACAATTGTCTGATGACAGTTGATGGGGGAAGTCATTGTATGTTCCCCTAACCTAACCCTAACCCTAACCCTAACCCTAACCCTAACCTAACCCTAACCCTAAACCCTAACCCTAAACCCTAACCCTAACCCTAACCCTAACCCTAACCCTAACCCTAACCCAAACCTAACCCAAACCTAACCCTAACCCTAACCTAACCCTAACCTAACCCTAACCCTAACCCTAACCCTAACCCTAACCCTAACCCTAACCCTAACCCTAACCTTAACCCTAACCCTAACCTTAGCCCTAAACCTAACCTTAACCCTAAACCTAACCTAACCCTAACCCTAGCCCTAAACCTAACCCTAAACCCTAAGACCTAACCTTAGCCCTAAACTTAACCTAACCCTAACCTTAGCCCTAAACCTAACCTAAACCCTAAGACCTAACCTTGAACCCTAAACCTAACCTTAACCTAATCCTAGCCCTAAACTTAACCCTAAACCTAACCTTGACCCTAACCTTAGCCCTAAACCTAACCCTAAATCCTAAAACCTAACCTTAACCCTAAAGTCAGCCCTAAACCTAACCCTAACCCTAAAGTCAGCCCTAAACCTAACCTTAACCCTATACTTAGCCCTAAGCTTATCCCTAAAACCTAACCCTTGATTATAGCCTCACCTTAGCCCTAAACCTAACCCTGAAACCTAACCTAACCCTAACCCTAACCCTAATACCTAACCTTAACCCTAACCTTAGCCCTAAACCTAACCCTAAACCTAACCTTATGGCCTTAAGCCTAAGCATAGCATTGGCCCTAACCCTAAGGCCCCAAACAGAACCTAGGGCCTAAACCAAACCTCTGGCCTGGCCCTAACCCAATCCTAGGCATAGGCCCACCTTGAGTCTAAAACATGGCCCTAACCCTAAGGCCCCAAACAGAACTTAGGGCCTAAACCAAACCTCTGGCCTAACCCAAGCCTAAGTTTACCTTAGGCCTGGACCTGATCTTAAGCCTAAGTATAGCACTAGCCCTACAATATTCATCCCTAGAGGAAGAACAGCATGGGTGATTCCCTGGCATAGGAAACCATGATATTAAATAAGCAACTTACCCAGAACTACACCAAAATCAACAAAACTCTGAACAATCCCATGTCATAAAAGTATAAGAGTTCACCGCGATGGAATTTACCACAGCCAAGATAGACCACATCCCCCAAAGCCACAACAGGTGGGGGAAGCACTGCTCGTAGAAGCCTGACGGGTTCCTACATCTTAAAAGGTGAGGGACCAGTCCGCCACTGGTGTACAACCCCAAAAAGGGAGTCCAAAGCGGTAGAAGCTTGGTATCTTCCCAGAAAGATTTCAGTGTCGGCTAACACCAGCCTGGAATTCAAAGGGAAGCTATCCGCCGGCTTGTACCTCCGCCCAAGACTGTCTGGGAGGTGACGTATTGCATGGGACCTACCTTCCCGGGTCTTGGAGTCGGCCACCTGGCAACGGGTGGTTGGGGCATGGTTTCTGGTCCCAGGGGTTCTGGGAGGCAGCGATCCATTCACAGCTAGCCCTGGTCCCTTGGTCTCCAGTTTCTAAGCTCTGGTGTATACCAGAGTAGGCCCAAACCTGCATTAAACAACCTGTGATACCTTGTGGTGTCAACAAACAGGGGGCTTGGGCACTGGCTCAGGTATTTCTGGGGTTCGGGAGGCAGCGATCCGTTCGCGGCTAGCTCGCGCCCCTGGAGTGCCTAGAGACCTGGGTCCTGGTTTTTCTACCCCTCGCTTAGAGAGACTAACTGGGATAGGCCCCAAGATGAGACCATTTCTCAGACCTTGTCTGGCTGACCTGGGCAACCTAGCAGTGTTAACAAAGGGTCAGTTGGGCAGGTGGTAAGTATTCAGCCTCTCTGGGTCCACTAGGACAGCACGCAGGGAAGGTGGTCTGGAGCAAACAGACCTTAAATGAGCACCCAGTCTTCTATCAGCACACACCACAGAACACAGCAGTTTAGAATTTAAAATAAAAAAATAAAAAAATAAACTTTTGTGAAGGAAAAGGCTAAAAATAGCATTCTCAAAAATACAAGGGTATAAAAACCAAACCCACAAAAAAAAATTGCATTAGCTTTTATACAATATAAGACATAAAAATACCTTAAAAATAAATAACTGAATTGAACATGGGCTTGATCAACCTATGGCTGGCCGTCTCAGATGAGGGTGTATAGTGTTTAAAGGCCGACACACCCGATGACTCTGGGGTACACTACTGATGATGTGTCCTAAAATTCATTAATATACTGTATCACACCTATCATAGCACTAAATTTAAGGTGGCACAAAATTTAAGGTGGCACTTCAATTATTATAGCACTAAATTTAAGGTGGAGCTTCAAATACCAGCACTAAATTTAGGGTGGCACAGAATTTAAGGTGGGACTCTCTTTAAGATAGCACTAAAATTAAGGTGGCACAGAATTTAAAGTTGAACTTTAATTAAGATAGCAATTCTCTTTAAGGTAGCACTAATATTAACATGGAACAGAATTTAAGGTGGAGCTCTCCTTAAGGTAGCACTAAAATTAATGTGCGACAGAATTTAAGGTGGAACTCTCTTTAAGGTAGCACTAAAATTAAGGTGGCACAGCATTTAAGGGGCACAGAATTTCAGGAGGAACTGCAATTAAGATGGCACTAAATTTAAGGTGGAACTTCATTTAGGGTGGAACAGAATTTAGGGTGGCACTGCTTTTAAGGTGGCACAAAAATTAAAGTGGAACAGAATTTAAGGTGAAACTTTAATTATCATAGCACTAAAATTAAGGTGGCACAGAATTTAAGGTGGAACTTCAATGAACAAGCATTAAATCTAAGGTGGCACAAGGTTTAAAGTGGCACTTCAATTATCAGCACTAAATTTAAGGTGGAGCTTCAAATAACATAGCACTAAATTTAAGGTGGCACAGAATTTAAGGTGGGACTCTTTAAGATAGCATTAAAATTAAGGTGGCACAGAATTTGAAGTGGAACTTTAATTAAGATAGCAATTCTCTTTAAGGTAGCACTAAAATTAACGTGGAACAGAATTTAAGGTGGAGCTCTCCTTAAGGTAGCACTAAAATTACTGTGCGACAGAATTTAAGGTGGGACTCTCTTTAAGGTAGCACTAAAATTAAGGTGGCACAGCATTTAAGGTAGAACTCTTTTGAGGGTGGCACTGAATTTCAGACGGAACTGCAATTAAGATGACACTAAATTTAAGGCGGCGCAGAATGTAAGGTGGAACTTATTTTAAGGTACTTTTAAAATTAACATTGCACAGAATTTAAGGTGGAACTTCATTCACAGAAGCACCTAGTAACAAATTACCATCCACCACGCATAGTGCAGCTTTTGCTTAACATTTTGGAAACATTTTAACAACTATCAACACAATGAATAGAAATCATTTTTAACATATTCATGAATTTATGAACATTAACCCACTCTCACTAACCCAGGTTTTTGGTGTGCAGTGATCATAGTTTATTCAGAAATGTCCTTACTGGTAATCAAGTTATACCATCAACAAACAGGAATTGATAATTAGTTTTTGCTAAATCATATATGGCAATAACTTCCTGCTTCTCTGCTTTGTTGAGGTTGAAACTTTCAAGCATGTTGCTGCTCTGAAGGACTTATCATTCCTGCCTGGACTGTTGCAATGCCTTGTTTTCCTGACTTTGCCTTTACTCGTTTTACTTTTGTCAGATTCATTGGTGTGTATGTGCTTTTACTTTTACTGTGACATCACTGAGTGGGTGTGGCCAGAGCCACAGACATGCCTGAAAGTTGTAACCTTGAGAGCAGTGTAGCTTTGTACTCTTTAAAAAAGACTATGTATTATGTTTGATGTAATGAAACATGTCTGCTAAATTTGTATCCAGAATTACTGAGTTTGAGTGTAAAATTATACAAAAATACAAAACTAAAAAGATTTACCCTAAAAGTACAAAGAAAAAAAACATTAGGATGTTAGTGTGGACATAAATCTATATAATGTGCTACATATTTAATTACAGATAATTAGTGTCTTTTTAAAGACATTTTCATGTCATTTTTAAAAAAAAGCAGTAAAATATTGTATGAATAATGCAGTCATTTTTCTATAAAAAAAAAAAAAGAAATAAATGTAATTTGTCATTATTGGCATAATCCCTAAAAGAACAGTTGAGCTGTTAATTTACAGATGTTGTCCTTAATTTTACAGAGTTTTGTACACAATTAAAAAAAAATGGAAAACTACTGTAAAAATGTAGGGTTATTTTCTGTAAAATTAGGACCTTTTTTACAGTGTATCCAGTTAAAGGACATCTTTCACTCAACCAAACAGCAGGCTTCTCTTATGCTGCTGACAGTATTATCACTAATATTTGCTGTCTTCTCTCCTGTTGGTCTGAATGTTCTCCTCGGGGTTTAAACATCTAGCATGTGGTCCAGGCAGGTTATGTAATATATGGCGAGGTCCAGAATCTCGATCTTGGAGAGCTTCTTGTCAGGCGGAACTGTGGGTAACAGCTTCCGGAGCTCTGCGAATGCCACGTTGAAGGCCTCAACTCGGATGTGCTCGTGGATGGTGTGGGCCTGCCTGTCTTTACTGGTTGCGCGCCACCGCTGCTTCTCCTCGTGGGTCAGGGGGGGTGCCAAGGAGCAGGAACGGGACTTACCATCCGCATTCGCTTCCAGTGGCTTCTCCGCCACATGCTCAACTTTGATGACATTGAGGAGCATTTCCGGGTCCGACTGAGGCCACAGCAGGTCAGAATCAGAGTGATCCGGGCTGAGCATCATCTATAGAGAGAGAGAGAGAGAGAGAGAGAGAGGTTAAATTAAGGTTAAAGAAACTGCAAGAAGAATAGGAAGGATGGAGGGAGGAAGAAAGAAAAAGAGAAAGGAAAGAGTAAAGAATGAAAGAAAGAAGTTAAGGAGGAAGTAAGAGAGATAGAGAGAGGCGGGGAGGTAGACAGTCAGAGAAAGGGAGAAAGGAAAAAGAGGAAGGCAAGAATAAAGAAAGAAAGTGATAAAGTAAGGCAAATAAGAAGGAGGGAGAGAGAGAGAGAGGTTAGGGGTATGGAGACTGCAAGAACGAAAGGATGGAAAGAGGAGAAGAAGAAAAAGGAAAAAATAAAGAATAAAGGACCTAAAAGAAAAAGTGAGCGAGGTGGTGGAAGGAGGTTATGAGGTCTGTAAGATTAAAATACGAAAAAAGAAAGAAAGAATGAAATGTGGGGATGTAGAGTTCATAACAACTTGTGTCAGTGCAGCCAAACTAAACTGTTAAAATATAAAAGTGAGGAAAACTAAGTTATGAGGAAAGTTCAGCTTTTTGGGAGATAAACTTAAGTTTATCAGTTCAGCTCGAAAACACGGTGAAGTCAGTAAGTTGCCTTATAATTTTAAGTAGACCTGACGCATTATTTTTTAGAGTAACTAACAAGCAATCAAAACCTCTTTACACCTGCCTGTTATAATCAACTTCAAACTTTTTTGTACACAGAGGGCTCTCACTCGACGCATGCGCTCTGCAGCACCACATTTCTGCTGAATATGAGTAGCGTTTGTGCTAATCAATAAAACATTCCAACCTTATTTACCATCCATTAATGAGATTTTAGCCTTTGGGGAAATTTTAGTTCAGTGATAGAAGCAATAACTGAAAAAGGCATAACAAAAAAATGAGAGTAAATAAGGTTGGATAGTACTGAATTAGCACAGATGCTAGACTTTCTGGCTGCATCCGGTCCACATTTAATTAATGATATATTGATGTATTACCCATGATGTGTTAATATATATTTACACCATGACTTACTTGGTGGGGCACATCGTCATTACTTAATGCTGAACATAGAACAAATATATATAAATATGTTAATCAATGATTTTAACTAATGAAATATAATTAAGTAATAAATAAAATTGCTTTCATGTCATGCAAAATTATTACCTCAATTATTTTTACTACATTATATTAAATGAATGATTTTACAATTAAATAATACAAACTTCATCCAATTAACATAATATGTCATTCATATATACAATTTACACAACACTTATACAAAATTATACATTATTTAATATTCTGAGCATGTTTACTACCTTTTTTGGTAGTAATTGGTATTAATAACAGTAGTATTACAAGGAGGAAATCTACGTACTGTGACTTTTCCGAGACAATTGTGAGTTATTTTAGACATCTGATGTGCAGAATAGAGCAATGGAGGGAGGAATGGAAGAAGGAAACAGGTCTGTCCACTGTGGGAGGAAAAGTAAAAAAGAAGGAAAGAAAGGAGGAAAGGACGAGTGAAAGACAAAGACTGCAGACTTTTATCAGTTTGTCTTTGTCTTGCTGCACAGAATTCAAAGCCACACATGATACTATGGGCTAAACTATGTTTTCCTTCATTAACACACACACACACCTCTCCTTAGAAACACACACATGTAGCACAACAGCCTTTGAAGTGCAATAGTCATTCTCTCTGTTTTGATGTGAAACGCTCCATTCTAGAGAAATTTTCCAACATCATCTCCAAACAAACATGCATTATAGAAAGGGTTTTAAATAATACATCAAGTCACGATAGTAATCAATAGAATTAATATTAATAATATTAATTAGAAATATGTTAATACTTAGTAATTACCTTTGTTAATGACTATTTATATCTGACGCAGTTCTTTATTAATGTATACACACTATTATTTTTCTGACGTGTTAAGTATTAGTCCATGCATTAATTCACTGTGATTGGACCAGTATTGTAAAGTGTTCCCAATTAATAAAAGCTATTTAAGAATAAGCCACCTGCTGCATTTTAAAAGCTAAAGTGACATTAACATGGCATCTTCAGTTTACTTACAATACCGGGTTTCCCGCTGGCCCAGGTCTGTCTGTCTCTGTTTGCCATCTAACACGCTTCTGCGTCTGACAAGCCCTTAAAGTCTGTTAACAGCAGGCCAGAGTGGGTGTATCCAATAGGCGGAGACACTATCAATCATTTCTTGCATCAGCTAATTATATAACAGAGATGAACTGTCAATCAAAACTTGCATTGGCCAATTGCAAGTGTGAATTACCCATCTCTCATTTTGTGCCTCCACTAAGTTGCCTTAAATATCACCTAATTACTTATTTCAGATCAATATGTTATTAAAACTATTGTTGCAACCATCAAGCCAACTCCCGTTAGGAAGAAAACCATCAGGTTTTATACCTACGGCTCTTCTCAAAACTATCATAAACTGTGTCGGAAGCATTAAGCAGTGTTAAGCAGTTTATACATGAAACAGGAGCTTTTAGGGGCATTAATAGCTTTAACAAATGTTGTTGTCAACTTTTCTCTGTTTTTTTTTTTTTCATTGTTTATTTCTGACTACTATTATGATTTGGAGTAATGTAAGTTTATACATTACTTATTAATGTATGAAACGTGGAGCCTAGCAAATGTCTTTAATGTTATGGTTCATTTGTAATAACACTGTTGCAACGTAGTGAACTAGATTAGTAAAAAGTAAGGCAAGATGTTGATTTGAAATGCTTTCTCATGTTTGCACATTCACAAGTATTCATTTGTGAATGTGTAAATATGAGAAACATATAATGCATTAATCAGCAATATGAGCATCACTGTGGGCAAAAAAAGGCAGGTTGGTTCAGAATAGCAGCTTTTTGACCAGGGTCAGCACCAGAATTGTTCTTACAGGGGTGCTGAAACATTTGATGGGGCAGGGTGGGGAGGTAACAGTCATTAACCCATACTGACCTGTAGTCTAGCTACACACTAAACTCATGGCAGAGAATATTCAATATGAACTGTCGATATTCAAGCTCATCCAGAGCTTGGTGTCACCTATGTTTTATCAGGACTAGGACTAGCCTTTAAATTTGCATGCACTTTTGCTGTGTTAAATTCTTACCATAGTGTCCTGACATCAGGTTATAGCTTGAGAATATAGTTACAGTTATAGTTTGAGAATGGAAACTATGTAGAAGATCAACTCCAAGTCTTAATTTAGATAAAATTATGTTTTACAAATTTAAGGCCTTAATAAGTATTGAATTGTGTTAATGGGCTGATATCTTAAAGAAAAACAAATTTTCTCACTATTTGAAATAAGAGTTTCATGTAGTACATAGGGTTGGGCGATATGACGGTAATACACTATACTGCCTTTTTTTTTTTAATTATGATGACATTTAAAAATGATGATGGTGTTTCAATTTATAGTGTGTCAAATTTCTATTACACGTCTGAACAGATAAATAACCACGTTCCACCCATTTATAATTTAGTAGGCTGACAGATTGGTGGTGTGGGAGCATCATAGCTCAGCTCAGCCATGGCAAAGAGCTACATATCCAAGATGCACATTCTCTACACACACCACAGAAGCATCAGACACTTGACTTTAAGCTATCCTCTGAAGGGGGGCACTGTCCTCTAAATGAGTTTTATTTTAGCATCAGTTAGCTACAACCATGCTGTGATGAGGCACGTTTCGACTACTAACTAAACTTTCTCTCAAACACCACAGAACAGGTTCAAATTTGGCTTACTGTCACTCTGCTTTTGCTCTATCAAACATTTTAATCACCTAAATTTGTGTCGACAGACCATTTTTCAGAATCAAGCCTGTACTGTGATGGATGGCACTGTTTGGTTCTGTAGCCTGCTTACTAAGCTAATGTTAAGGCAGCCTATCAGGCTACAGATCCAAACACCACAGAAAAAGTTTCATTTTGCCTTTCTTCAGCACTTGCTCAGCACCACTCTCTCAGATCACTATTTTTAATTATCTAAGCTTGTCTCTGTGTTTTAGAATGGAAACATGTTCTGTGGTGGGCAGAGCTGGCAGCATGCTAGTAAGCTAACGCTGTCCAGCTCCTCTCTCCTAGTTAACAGCCCTGAACAGTATTAAACATTTATTATTTGTTCAATAGATGGTTTGACTTTTATTGAGTGATGGCTTAAAAATTGTGCAATGCGTTCGCTTATTTGGTAACCATGTGAAGCGGACAACTTTTTTTTAAAATTAGAAATCAATGAGATGGCAAAAAGTGGTTATAAGTGACTTTTATCACCAGCAGCTCAGCCTTTATTTTTTTATTATTATTTATTTTTAATCAACAATACTGTCATATACTGTATATGAAATGTCAGGAAGGTATGAAGGTTTAAAAAAGTAGATACCACCCAAGTTTAGTAGCATATAAGCATTATTTAAAAACCTACTCATCACCTTCCAGTCCATATATGAAAACTAAGCTGCAAAAATAGCCCATTCTGAGTCCAGTGTTTCTGTGATGTCACAAAAACAATCAATTTCTATATATGTCCATTTCCATATAATGCCTATTCAGCCTATAGCAGTTTAGCTCCACCCATTCACACTAAAGTTATAAGGAGTGTTTCAGCTCAGGCTGTTTTTGATGAGGCTCAGTACAGGTCAGCCAGTCAGAACAGAGCTCATGCCATACATATCAGTCCTAAAGACAACAAAAGAAAACAAAAATGGCCTGTTTAATTGTAAAAAATAAAGAGAGGTGAAACATGCATTATAACTTTTTTATACATAAACCTACAGAAATGTCATAAGTGGACCTCTAGGAGAAAGATAAAATACAATAAAACTGTAGAATGTGGGCCCTTTAGTTTCAAAATTGCATGTTCTAAAATTTTAAATGGTTAGCAAACAGATACTCGCTTAACTGAGAGGAAGAAAAAGGAAAAGCACACTTAGCCTGATGTCAGTGTCATTGTCCAGTGGACTGTGACAATCAGTAG